TTAATAATACAATGACAGCAGGCAAAATGTCAAATGTAATGTACACATAAAGAAGTCTTTAAGTTGTTCAATCCTTCCATACAACTAATGGAAACTAACTAAATTCAAAGCCATGCTATGTCGTAACCAACTGTCATTCTAAATCTGAAATACCTAGTACAGGCACTTATCAAACCTAGTTAAAAAAAAAGAAAAAGAAATCCGGGAGCGGAGTCACCTGAGTTAGGAATGTACTTGGGGCTTCCACTTCCTGTCTTCCAGGACCTTTGTTTGGTTGGCAGCCATAACTTTGATACAGCCTCCTGTAAACGATTCAAGTCATTCATTAAACATTACTTTCTGCCTGTGACATTGAAAAAACAGTTTTGGTTTTTATGGGAAATACACACCTCTCACTGTACTTTGCTCTGTACCTCATGTCTAAGTTTTCAAAATGGTCTGTATGAAATGCACACAAGTATTTGGATCATTCCTTAGTTTTAGCAGTCACAGTGTCAAACAACAATTCAAACTGGGAAGCTGACAAGAAATGATGGCGTCTGATTAGAACTTAACTCTTAACCTAAACGCAACCTTATCCTGACTCTAAACCAAGTCTGAAATCTAATGCTATGTTAGGGGGAACTTGCTTTTTGACCCTCAAAGAAAGGCAAAGTCCCACATGTGCAAGTGTAGACAGATTTATGTCCCAAAAACAGAACTAGTAACACTACACACACACACACACACACACACACACCTCAGTGTCCTGTGATAACAAAGACCAAGCCACAAACTCCAGCAATGGAAGGATGGCTGCCACTCTTGATCCCTTTAATCCTTCAGGATACAGCAGCTTCTTCAGCTCCTCATTAGACACACCATTAGCCTGGTAACACACACACACAGACACAGACACACACACACACACACACACACACACACACACAAATTTGTTTGTTTACAGTAAATTTAGATTTTTTTATTTATTTATTTATTTATTTATTTTTAAAAACATTTTTCTGTGTCTCGTTTTTTCAATTGCTTGTGGTCACTGAGCCTGTACTTGGTTTGAATCTGTGTTGCATTTTCATCTCTGACAGAAGAGTCTTTCTCTCTCTCACCTCTTTGATATTCTCCAGCTCCACAGCCCATTTCTGAAGTCTGTCATTGTGTTTTTCCAGCTCTGTTTTCTCTTTCTCTTCTGGATCATCTCTTCTTCTTGCCCTCTCATCTGTTGACTTCATTTTCGGTTTTACCTGCTAATAGAATGAATGGAAAACAGTGTTCTTGTACTGTCTGAAAGTGGTCATCTTAAAGAAAGAAGGCTCTGTAGTCACACTTCACAGGTTAGCTTTTTACCATTTAGCTGCTTGGAGAGGAGCTTTGTGCAGCTGAAGCACAGAGTGAATGTCACACATATTTCTGGTTAAGAAAATGGCAGTGACTTGGAGGCATTTTATTTTATGTGCAGTTTGCTACACAGGCCTAAAGCACACACAGCTGCTCACATAGCTGCTTGAAAAGTGTTTGTAAGCAATAACAGTCCACAGTGAACCTGAGGTGTACAATGAAACAAGATTATTAGGTTAGCAGGTATGTTAAGCCTAAAGCCAGAGTTTTCATTGTTACAAAGGTGGCTCCCTTGAACCTTTTCAACACAAACACACAAAAATATCAATAGAATTATAAAATAGATTTACTTGAAAACGCATATAATGTTAACAGGTAATTTTTGAAATAAAAAATTGGGTAGTTTTTTTTTTTTAATAACTGTGTTTTTGGGTTTTGTTTTTAGGTAAATCAATTAAATGTATAGGTGAATATACTTTTAGAAATTAAAAATCAGACTTATATACAAATACACAAGACTTTTATGTGAAGTCACATTTTAAAACCCATATTACACTTGACAGTAGATGTCTGCAGTTGTACAACAGTATTTTGACATTTTCTTCAAATTTTTGCTAACATAAAAGGATATTGTAAAACTCCACTATTAATGGCATCTTCCTGCAGTATTTAGCCTGATTCTTTGTATTTTGCCATTATTCAGCCATATTTAGAGTTAATTTATTAATATATTTAATAATACCATTTTATAACTTCTTTTTCTTTCGACTGTGTAAAGTGTACACCCTTTCTATTATTGATCAGGACTGTGTGTTGTGTATATTTGATTGACCGATGCAACACATGATAATGGAAGGTGACGTTGACAAAAAATAAAAAGAAATTTAAACAGAGTTAACCATGTTTCGTTCCAGCTCCTTGGCCCAATGGAGGATCAGTTTTCTTCCGCTCTCCAGGCTATCAGGTTGTTTTGTGCTCCCCTCTGGCGCAGCCTTCAGCCTGCCAGCCTTCATCTAGATGAAGAGTTAGAATAAAGAATAAATGTGAAATGCTTGTTAAATTTAAAATGTTCCTCTTCTGAAATTGAAAAAGATATTACAGCTTTTCCAGACAAAAGTTAGAAAGTTCTTTACACTTAACCCAGCGTTTGCTGCAACATTCCATTGTATATTTCAAAGAGTAACTGAATGTGTTTAATAGCTAGAAACAAGAGGTGTACCTGGCTGATGTTGTTCACTTCCTCTGATAGTTCACGAAGAAATTCCAGGCATTCTGTCAGAGAATGCATTTGCTTCAGATCAGGCTAAAATGGAAGAAAACAAAGAAATAACAAATGAGGTCATTAACACACTATTGTGTTGTGTTGGTGTACTGTTGCATGGCAGCAGAAAGAAACGTAACGTCCTAATGGAGTGAGCCACATGCAACGACTGATGCTCAATTGATATTCATCCTCCCTTGGGAAAAAAAAGTTTTAAAAAAAGTACCATTATCCTAAGAAATAATGACCTAAGTTATGAATTTGGTTACTCAATCCTATCAAGCATCTGCTTTATGCAAGACACCATTTTCAGATTTCACAGTTAGATGTCAATTCTGGATCATAAAGATTAAAGACACATTGGTACTATATATGTCACAGCTAACAGTAGTTGTTTTTTGTATGTTTTTTTCAATTTAAAATAGGAAACTGTCACGATTTAGAGGTAGCTACAGTTATGATTAATGTAGATTACAGTGGCAATGTTATGTAATTACAGTATTACTGGAAAGTATAGCACAACACAAGACGCTTACAACATCAAGGCACTTCACACAGTAAAGGGAAGACCTTACACAGTTCATACAAAGGAATCCAACAAACCCAGTTTCCGTCATTTTGAAGAGTACTTGTCAACAGTAGGTGGAAAAAACTCCTTACAGTGATTAACTTACAAGTAAAAAGTTAATGCAAATTACAGTAATAACACTGTGAAAATATAGTAAAATACTGGCAGCCACAAACGTATAGTAAAGTATTCCACTGTAACTTTACAGGAAAATTTGTTACAGTGGAAATTCCTGCACTAAATATGGTCATTTTTGCAGTTCCCTCTA